TGCAACCCAGGCTGATCTTGAACATGATGTATAATGGAGGCTGGCCCTTTCCAGCTCCTGTCTCCATTTCCCACAGGCCCCACGTGCCCCATGACCAGGGTGTCTTTTTATTTCATATTTATTATGATTTTTTAAAATGTTTTTAAATTCTACCTTCAAATTTCAAATTTCAATAAAAGCACCTTGCCTTGTGCCATTTGTCTCTCCTGCCTGCTCCCAAATCACAACACACAGATTTATTATTAACTATAAATACTTGGTCAATGGCTTAGGCTTGTTACTGACCAGCTCTTACAACTTATGTGACCCCATTTTTATCAGTCTACTTTTTGTCTAATAGCTTTATTACCTTTACTCTGTACTGCCCATGCTGTTTTCTCTCCATCTGGCTGGTGACTCTGTGTCTCTGCCCTTGTTCCTAGTGTCTTCTGTTTCCCAAAAACCCTGCCTAACTATTGACTGCTCAGCTTTTTATTAAACAAATCTTCACAGTGTACAAAAAGATTATTCCATAACACTTTTAAAGGTTTTGTTTTTTGTTTTTTGTTTTTCTCTCTCCAGAGACGGTAGCACATTTTTAAATCCCAGTGCTGGGCACTAAGGCAAGTGTTTCTCTGTGAGTTTGAAACCAGCCTGGTCTACTTTTCTGAACTCCAGAACAGAACAGCCAAGGCTACATAGTGAGTGAGACCCTGTCTCAAAATAAAACAAAACAAAACAATTGTTTTCTTTCTTTTTTCTTTTTTTTTCTTTTTGTAATAGTGACATGCAGTGTAACTCTTTAGTCATCTGATGTATGTAGTAAAGGGTCTGTACAGTGTTGGGCGCTCCAAACTGTCCTTGGGCCCTATGCTGTTTTATTTATCGTATTGAAAACTGTTTTTGCCTGGAAGCACTGAGGAATGCTGAGTCTCTGTTTTAGCCAGTGCTCTTCCTTTCCCATGGCCACAGCAGAGAATGCTGTTTGGAGACAGGCGTGCACACGCTGGCACTGAACTGGAACTGTTTGATCTGGTCTTATTCTGGCTCTGCCCAAGCCCAGGGCACTAACCTGTGACTGGAACCCTGAGGAGAAAGATGTGCAGCCATGCTTGGTGACCTCGTCTCTGGGAAATCATTTGCTCTGTCACTTCCTCCAGCCTCTGGTCCTTATTCCAGTTCACTACTTTTTCATTCTAAGTTTGAGCTTTATGAGGTCTTCGGTCTTTTTCTGGCTAAATTACCTGTACCAAGCAGGTATGGCTGAGCAGGTAGTTTTACTTGCTCTGTTGTGGGCTGAATTAGGATGCATGGGAGGGGCTTGTCAAAGGGGAGTTTCTGCCTAGTAAGTAGCATGGCCAGGCTTGTTCTTCTTCGGGTTAGGGGGGGGCTGACCTGATGGCATACTCAAGGGTGAGATAAGACACAAACTGTAGTGAGAGTCGCTGTTTGTCTTCGGCGTGCAAGACTTTATCCCTCCCAGTTGGATTCTATAGCAGAAGACAATGCAGGTCGCTTGTAGGAGAGTGAGGCAGGAAATCAATCTTTATAAAACAATGGACACAGCTTTTATAAAATGTTTGAAATGAGTAAAGCGAAAACTAAGCATATTTTTCTTTCTCTTTCTCTTCAGTCCTTAAGGGTAGTACTGATTGCTGTGTGCTTCTGAGTCTGTGTGCCACCTCAGCTTTATATAGTCATGGCTTTGGTCATTGTTATCTACAAAGGAAACTGCTGGAAAGATTAAAGTCCAAGCCTTGTATGCAGCAGTAGAGTGAACAGGTGTAGATTAGCTCCTGGCCCAACTCTGCGCCATGTAAATTTCATCAGACGCACAGGACAGACATGCAGCTGGTTAGTATGGCCACCATCACATGATGCTTGCTCTAAGTATAGCCTACCTTTCTGGAAGTTGCAAACACCTGGAGAAGCAGTCACAGAGGCCTTAGCTAGAAAGTATTTGCTTCTCCTAGGTGTACATTGTGCAGTTGTGGACTATCAAACTTGTTTCCTGCTGTTTTTGTAAATAGTAAAAGCAACTCACTGAGTCGTTGGCTCACAGTGGGGTTATAGGTTGGCCTGTTGTCTATGAGAACTGGTGATGAACTCTCTGATAGACCAGAAGAATCCCTTAATATCATTCCAGAAGTGCATTTGATCTCTTCAGACCCACAAATAGCTCTTATTAAGGTTTAAAGATTATTTTATATGTATGAATGGTTTGTCTTTATGTCCATATGTGCACCACATGCATACTGGTGCCCTCAGACTGGGTCAGAAGAGTGTGTTGGATCCTCTGGAACTAGAGTTACAGATGGTTTTGAGCTGCCATGTAGTTGCTGGGAATTGAACCCCAGTTCTGTAAGAGCAAGAAGTGCTCTTAATCACTGACCCCTTTCTCGGGCACCTTACCCCACACTACCAAGCTCTTAAAAATGTAAAAAAGTAGTCTTTTGTCATTTATTTATTTACTTATCTTTGGTTTTCCAAGATTGGGTTTCTTTGTGTAGCCTTAACTGTCCTGGTACCAGCTTTGTAGACTAGGCTGGCCTCACAGAGATCTGCCTGCCCCTGCCCCCTGACTGCCACTGCCCAGCTGATCACTTCTTTTAAGAATGGTTTTTAAAAAACAGTTTCCATATTTAGATAAGACTGGCTTCAAACTGTAATCCTCTTACCTCATCCTCCTGGGTGCTTATAGGCTTGCACCACCACACAGCAGCAAAGAGGAAAGCATTTTAAAATGTCAGTGAGATATTTTACTTAACAAGTTGGCAGAAGTTCACCACAGTGAAGAAACAGTGACCATCAATCTGCAGGGAGGCAGGTGCTATCATACATGTAGTGTGAGCATTGTTCTGCATCTTTTTATTGAAGGAAGTTTGTATTCAATAATGAAAATACAAATACATCCTCTGAGAAGTATCACATAAAGGGATTTGTTCTATAATATGCTTGCTTACAAGGTGGTAGATGCTTAAACTGTGGGAAAATTGAAGGTTAGAAACACTTAGTAGTTGATTGGCTAATGACTACAGCTACAATAGACAGTGAGACTGCTCATCACTGACTGAAGGTAATAAAGCAAGAGCAGCGTATGATGCTATCTGCGTGGAAAGAAAGAACACACACTGTCTGTGCATTGTGTGCATGTGGACACTGGGAGTCAATGTACGCTGTCCTGGTGGACAGATGTTGAGGGAAGAGGTAGCATGCTTTACGTTGCAGATTTTGTATCATATGCATGGATTGCTTTTCAAAAAAATTAAGTCAATAGAGTGCTTTAAAAGTGGAACTAGGCCATTCAGATGGCTCAGTGGATAGGGACGCTTGCCATCAAACCTTATAACTGGAGTCTGATCCCCAGGAATCACATGATTGAGTGAAAAAACTGACTCCCACAGGCTATTTCTGATTGCCACATGTGCACCATGGCGCGCACACACACACACACACACACACACACACCTATACATGCATGAGTAGAGTTGTAGCAGTAGCAGGCTTTCTTTGGGCCACCAACCAGCACCCAAATCATGACATGGAGACTTATTATTAGTTATGAATACTCAGCCTTATCTTATGCTTGTCCCGTTAGCACCTAAAACTTAATTTAACCTTTTTCTTTTATCTACATTTTGCTTATGGCTTTTTATTTTTCTTTCATTCTGTATGTTCTACTTTCCTGCTTCCTCGGTGTCTAACTGGCTGGCTAGCCGGTCCTGGGCATCTCCCTTTATTTCTCCCTCGTTCTCTTCTTTCATCTCTAGCCTAGATTCCTCCTCCTACTTATTCTGTCTGCCCGCCAACCCTATCTATCCCTCTACTGCCTAGTTTTTTATTAGATCAGTCAGGTGCCTTAGGCAAAGCAACACATCCTTGCATCATTGAACAAATGCAGCATGAAATATTGTAACACAATCTGGGAGGTGGTGACACACAGCTTTAATCCCAGCACTCAGGAGGCAGAGGCAGGTGGATCTCTGTGAGTTCGAGGCCAGCCTGGTCTACAGAGCTAGTTCCAGGACAGGCTCCAAAGCTGCACAGAGAAACTCTGTCTCAAATAAATAAATAAAAGGCGGTTTTAACACATCTTTGCCCTATTAAAAGTAATATTCCACCACAGCAATAGTGATCTGATAACCTCTGTGGAATTCCTTCAGGGGAAAGCAACACATGAGTATTATAATGTAGCATTATAAAAACCCAGAGTCAGATATTGGGGTACAACCTAAAGGTCAGAAAAGCAAAACAGCCAGCCATTGGCTCTTAACCTCCACCTCAGTCCAAAATGGCATTTGTCCTCCAGGAGTCTCAGAATGAGACTGTATGTAAGAGCTGTCTTCTCCCATTTTATATTCTCCTCTAGGGCTGGGATTAAAGGTGTGTGTCACCACTACCTGTTCTATAGGCTGACCAGTGGGGCTATTTTACTCTCTGATCTTCAGGCAAGCTCTATTTATTAAAATACAAATGAAATATCACTACATATTTGTAAACAGAGACTGAGTGATGGTTTCCCAGCCACTCAGATCCAAATAATCACACAGAAACTTTTATTAATTTACAACACTGTTTGGCCAGTAGCTTAGGTGTATTCTTAGCTAGCTCTTAATATCTATTAATCTGTGTATCAGCACGAGGCTTTGGCCTACCTGTAAGGTTCTTGCATTTTTTTCTCCTTCGGCAGCTACGTGGCATCTCCCTGACTCTGGCTTCTTTCTTCCTGCATTCTTTTTAGTTTCTGCTTAGCTTTATTCTGCCCAGCCATAGGCCGAGGCAACTTCTTTATAACCAATGGTAATGAAACATATTCACAGAGAGGAACATATAAAGAAGGGAATCACACATCACATGTTGGTCCTGATTTTCCATTGTTTCTCAACAGTGATCAGTGAAGGCTTGGATGGTAAGAGCTTTGGGCTCTGTAGTCAACCCTTAGAAAGGGTTTTCCTTTGTTTTGACAGCTCATTTAAATATCCTTTCGACAGGACTGAAGGCTTTTGTCTTTTTATCTATAGGAACTTACAAGCAGCAATTGGCGCTTATTATGACTTTGAGAGCCCAAATATCAGTGTGCCCTCAATGTCCTTTGTTGAAGACGTCACCATAGGAGAAGGGGAGTCTATACCTCCTGATACTCAGTTTGTAAAAACATGGCGGATCCAGAATTCTGGTAAGTATAATGAGAATTTCTATGTTGATTGGTTTTTAGTTTGTTTGATTGTTTTTTAATAGAATGAGAAGGGAATGACTTCAATGTTCTGAGTTTTTTCTTGTACACAGTATGTAGTATTTTTTTACACTGGCACAATGACCATATGCCAGTGAACTGTCATAGAATAAAAAGAAGCTTAGTCTATTGCTGCATCCAGACACAGTCTAATACTCATTTGCTGCTAGAAACTAGGCTTGTGTGTAATATTGTCTCCAGCTGGAGTTCGCTGTTCTTCCACTTCCAATCTCATGAATACTCATCCTCCTCAGCAGCCAGAGAAGGTGCTTCCTTGACTAGTGCAGGTTGGTTGGAAGAACTGTGGTCATTGGCTCCTCGGAAGTTCATTCCTGTGCAGCCACAGGACTCTCAGAAATTGCACTTGGTATGCAAGTATTAAGACCACCATGAAAGTATTAAGACCACTATGAGGTATTAAGACCACTTTGAAAAATGGGGTAAGGAGTGTGGGAATTTATTCAGAAGAGTCATTTTAATAAAATACATTGTAAATTAGCACAGCGGTACAGGTGTAATCCTAGCACTCTGGGGCAGAGGCTAGAGGATCACTGCAAGTTTGGGGCTGGTCTGGGCTACGTAATGAAATCCAGATCAACCAGAACTACATAGTGAGACCCAGTCTCAGACAAGCATGAACACTGAAAGGTGACCGAGTAAGCACATCTTTTGACTTGTTGGTGCATAAGTTGATCATAGTTCTTTGACAGTAGACCTGGTTATGGTATGGTAGGTTCAGTGTCTCTTACTATCTGTTGCTTGTTAACTTCTTTGAGTTCTTTGAGTTCTTATCTCTGTCCTATCTAGTGGAGGTTTGTGCTTCCTGGCTGAAGATGCTTTTTAACTTACTTAGTAGTGAAGAGAAAGCCTGAGCTGTGGATACTAGGCAGAGAGTGGTACTCAGCTGAGGGGAGTGTGTGAGTGCTGTCTGTTATGGTGATTTGATGTGAGATGACATAAGGTGACTTAGGGGACCCAAGCAGTCTTTTTTTTAAATTAATTTATTTATTTATAAAAAATTTCCACCTCCTCCCTGCCTCCCTTTCCCCTCCTCCTTTCCACCTCCCCCTCCCTCTCTTGTCCTAAGAGCAGTCAGGTTTCCCTACCCCGTGGGAAGTCCAAGGTCCTCCCCCCTCCATCCAGGTCTATAAAGGTGAGCATCCAAACAAATCAGGCTCTCACAAAGTCAGTCCATGCAGTAGAATCGAAACCCGGTGCCATTGTCCCTGGCCTCTCAGTCAGCCTTCATTGCCAGCCACATTCAGAGTGTCCAGTTTGATCACATGCTCCATAACTCCCAGTCTAGCTGGCCTTGGTGAGCTCCCATGAGTTCAGTTCCAGTGTCTCAGTGGGTGGACGCATTCCTCGTGGTCCTGACTTCCTTGCTCATGTTCTCCCTCCTTCTGCTCCTCATTTGGACCTTGGAAGCTCAGTCCAGTGCTCCAGTGTGGGTCTCTGTCTCTATCTCCATCCATCGCCAGATGAGGGTTCTAGGGTGACACCAAGCAGACTTTTAAATTACTTTTTTGGACTTGGTTTCCTTTTTAGTTCTTTGTAATTTAGTTCATTGTCATGGGGCAACTCTGGCTAATGCCTGTTTTGTATGTTCTGTGAGCCCTGGCTCCCCGGTTGTCACAGCAGTATACTGTTTGGAGGCTTCTGGTGACACAGGAAAATGCTCACGTTTTCTGGTTTTTGTTTTTTTTTCTTTAAATTCTCAGCCAAGGTTTGTTTTGGGTTTTGTTTGTTTGATTTTTGCTTTGCTTAATTTCTATTTCACCTTGAAATTTCCCTGTTTTAAATCACAGAAATCTTTCTAGTTCACCTTCATGTTTCTTCTCAGAATTAGGCAAACTTAACATTATTCACTAAAAATGTTTTCAAACATACATGTAGGGCTGGAGAGATGGCTCAGCGGTTAAGAGCATTGCCTGATCTTCCAAAGGTCCTGAGTTTAATTCCCAGAAATCACATGGTGGCTCACAACCATCTGTAATGAGGTCTGGTGCCCTCTTCTGGCCTTCAGGCATATACACAGACAGAATATTGTATACGTAATAAATAAATATTAAAAAATTGTTTTTAAAAAACATACATGTAGTTTTCTATTGGTTAAATACTCTTCCACCCCAAGGCAGGGTTTCTCAGTGTAGCCCTGACTGTCCTGAAACTCATTCTGTAGAGCAGGCTGGCCAAGAACTCAAAGATCAAAAAGTTCGACCTACCTCAGCCTCTGAGTATTGGGATCAAAGGCGTGAGCCATCACCACCGGCAAGTAATACGTTTTATTTCATTTATTTTGTATTAGGGGTGTGCACGAATGCCACAACACATGTGGAGTCAGATCTCTCCTTTCATCACGTAGGCCCTGGGAACTGAGCTTGGTTTTCAGGCTTGGGACAGGCACCTTTTACCCACTCGGCCATCTCACCAGCCACTTTTTCATTTGTTTTAAAACAAGGTCTTAATGTATAGCCCTGCCTGGCCTACAACTTGGAGTTTGCCTGCTCGGCTATTTATTTGTTCTTTGTTTTGAGACAGGGTCTTACTGTATAGTGCAGACTAGCTGTTAGTATACCATCTCCCTGCCTCAGCCTCCTTAGTTTGGGTTATAGACGTGGACTACTACAAGGCTATATTTAAGAGGCTGAGGAAGCTGCTGTGCTGTTAATCCCAATACTTGGAAAACTGAAGATGGGAAGTTGTTGAATACCAAGCCAGCCTCAGCAAGAGAAAGGGAGGGAGGGAGGGAGGGAATCAAGCAAGGCAGAAAGATGGAGGATAGTTAGTGTTTCAAGACAACAAAACTTGATTTGTTACAGAATAGCTATTCTGCTTTCTGTAGAGGCTGATGTCTGTCATTAACTCAGGAGGAGATAGCTCTGCAGATGTGGAGAAGTGGGGGAAGTTGTCTGTGATGTTTAAAGTAACAGGTCAGAATTCCAAAGCTGCCTTTCACCTTGACCTAAAACACTATCGGACTGAGTACTGTTGGCTTGCAGCACTTCCGTGTCTGACTTTTGAAAGTCAGTTCTTGTATCTGAATTCTTCTTGAAAAGTTGGACAGCAATTGCTTGAGATTTTATTCTTCAAGGTACTCTGCACAGAAAAGGCTTTCATTCTGAGAGTTGTTCAAGCCGGTGTAGTATAGCTTCATACCTGCAACCTGAATGCTTTCCATTGACTCGGGAACTTCCTCAGCATTGGCGTAGAAATAGGGTAGGTAGGCACCTGCTATTGATAGTCTCTGTCATTCATCTGCTTTTGGAGAAAAGTGTTTGCTGGGAGAGTTAAATACATAGTAGTTGTCGTGGCACCTCTTGTTTTAGGTACTTGACTAACACACAATGGATCAGATAACGTAATAACTGCATGTAGTTGTTCCAGTAACTTCCCCAGAGGGTTTAACTGTCATGTATTTGAAACCAGCCCTTTGATATTTAGCTATGTTGATGCATACTTGTAGGATTGAGTTGTTTTGTTTTGTTTTTTGTTTTGTTTTGTTTTTTTGCTATAGAAACTTTGGAAGACTTAAAATACAGAGTTTAGGGTTTAAATTAGAAATATTTTCTATAAAGATATAAGTAGGGGCGGGACTGGCAAGGTGGCTTAGCAATTAAGAGCACTGTCTGCTCTTCCAGAGAACTTGGGTTCAATTCCCAACACCTACATGGCAGCTCACACCTGTCTGTAGCTTCAGTTCCAGGGGATCAAACACCCTCACACAGACACACCTGCAGGCAAAACACCAATGTACATAAACTAGATCATTATTAAAAAAGGTATAAGAAAGACTCATGTGGCTTGGCTGGTAGAATTCACTTTGAATGCACAAGGCCTGGGTTCAGTCCCCAGCACTGCACGCACGTACGCACACACACACACACGCACGCGCAAACACACACACACACACACAAGAAATGTAAGTAGACAGATTTTTATTTATTTATTTTTGTTAGCTCTTCCAGTTTCTCAGTTTTTCCAACAAGGATTAACTACAGTTGGCAGCAGTCTCTTGTGACTGTTTCGGCTGTGGTTGTTACATGAAAGTGGCTTGAGTGTGCTCACAGCTGCTTGTGTGCTTTGTGCTTCATAGAAATGAAAATGAAACTAGACCTCTGAAAGGAAGTTGAAAAATAACAACTGTTCCCTCTCTCCCTCCCTCTTGAGACAAAGTGTCACCGTGTAACTGGGATTGCAAGATTGTCCTGTGGCCACACACACACACACACACACACACACACACACACACACAGAGTTTTCTTCTTCAGATATTGAAATACTTTATCCCTTCTTTTCAGGCTGATTACAGAGAGGATATTTCCCTGAGCTCATTAATCACAGTTTAGCATTGTTAGCTGTAGGAAGGAACTTCTGTCTGTCTCCATGGAGCAGCTTCCACACACCAGAGTTAATGGGGAACCTCCATGGGGTTTGTCTTCTGCAGTGACTTACGCATGTTCTTTGCATCTCCAAACTACTATAGCCACAGAGCTACGGCCATGTCCAGGCTTTCTAGACCTACTGGATAACTTCCTTTTGATCTACCCACCTTCCTTCTTTCCTTCTCCCTCCCTGCTAAGATTTATTTATTTATTTTAAGAATGTGAGTGCTCTATCTGCATGTACAACTTTATGGCAGAATTTATGCCAGAAGAGAGTATTTGATCCCGATAGAAATGGCTGTGAGCCACCATGTGGTTGCTGGGAATTGAACTCAGCACCTTTGGAAGAGCACCCACTGCTCTTGACCTCTGGGTCATCTTTTCAGCCCCTCCCTTTGGTTTTTCTGATGTTATTATCTCAAAATTAGTACACTGCAGGGTGGTGGGTTGTTCTTGTTTTTTGTTTGTTTATTTTAAATGTGATATTCTGTGATAATAGAGCATTACTGCCTTAATATATGGAAGTTAATTTCCAAAATCATAAAGCACATATGAGTTATCCTTTTGTTCTAGAAAAACCTGTTCATGTATATGAGATAACCAAACAATAGTAACAGATCTCTAGACCAGTGACCCTCAACCTTCCTTTTCCGAGACTCTTAATACAATTCTTCATATTGGGGTGACCTCAACCATAAAATTATATTCATTGCTGCTTTATAACTAATTTTGGTACTGTTATGAATTGAAATGTAAATATCTTATATTTCAGATGGTCTTAGGCAACCCCTGTGAAAGGGTCGTTTAATTCCCAGGTTGAGAAATGTGCTCTCTCTCTCTCTCTCTCTCTCTCTCTGTGTGTGTGTGTGTGTGTGTGTGTGTGTGTGTTTGTGTGTGTACACATGCACATTTGTGGGTGCCAAGGACAACTTGAAGGAGTAGATTTCCTCCTATTGTGTGAATTCTGAGGGCAGATTGAGTTCACTCAGCTTTGCAGTATGTACCTTTTGCCCACTTGCCCACTGCCCTGTTCCTCCCACCTTCAGTCCCATTTGCTGAGTCATATGAAACATTGTGTTGCTCCGTGGTGTGTGGGCAGATGTGCACATGTGTGTGAAGAGGCCTCTTCCTCAGCTCAGTAAGAAACTCCAACACAGGACTGCTGATTTCCTAACATTCTTTTTTTTTTTTTTCTTTTGCTTGAACTCAGGGTCAGAGGCCTGGCCTCCAGGGGTTTGTCTTAAATATGTCGGGGGAGACCAGTTTGGACATGTGAACATGGTGATGGTGAGATCACTAGAACCCCAAGAGATTGCAGATGTCAGTGTTCAGATGTGCAGTCCCAGCAGAGCAGGAATGTATCAAGGACAGTGGCGGATGTGCACTGCTACAGGACTCTACTATGGAGGTGAGTATGTCCTAATGCAAATGAATTAGGCAGCACCTGGCAAGTTCACATTGTTGCTTACAAAACTAATGAATGTGTAACAATAGCACTGTGGCCTCATGTTACCCATGCAGGTAAATGCCATGAAGTTATTGACACATTGGTCAAGTCTAGTGCACTTCCTTTTACCCTAGAAATTTAAACTTCAGTGGAGTATATGAGATACACTTGCATTGTAAATAACCATTTACTGAGGGTGCTGACTTCACTGTTTAATCCCATAGTGCTGTCAATACTGACTGCAGGCCTCGTGATCACCTCCTCGTAATCGTGATGTAGATCAAAGAGCGCACAAAATGTGGGTGTTCTTCCAGCCCCAGGGACTTGACCTAGTGCTGACACCTCTTGGCCCTCCCTTCATTGCCTCACTTTTTAGACAGGGATGCATACTCTACATTTTCTAGTCGTGCTCCAACCCTATGCGCACTCCACAGTAAGTTGTTAATAGCAACTGCCCAACCAGTTGCCAAATCGTAGCCGCCAGAGTCTGCACACTGCCTGACCCTAGTATCCTTAGGTACCTCACTGCACATGTTTCTTAAAAGGTAAGGTCCTGTTTCTTCTCCTCTTTGCTTAGTTGCATCTTTACCCCGAAATTACTGCCTTGTGAGCTGGATCCATTTGGTCCTGCTGACCTCATGCACCTTGTGGTGTCAGCTGCTCCCAGTTGTCTGCCCAGGATGCTCACATTCACCTCTGTAGCCAGGACCTGTTTTCTGGGCTTCAGGTTGTAACTGATTATGGACAGAACACCTGGATATTTTGTCGATTCAGATTTTAAAATTTCCTGCTGCAATATCCTGTGGTAATAAGGCCAAAACCCTGGATTGGACATTTGTTCTCCCCACCTGTAATTAAGAAATTACAGGGCTGGAGAGATGGCTCAGTGGTTAAGAGCTTTGCCTGCTCTTCCAAAGGTCCTGAGTTCAATTCCTGGCAACCACATGGTGGCTACAACCATCTGTGATGAGATCTGGTGCCCTCTTCTGGCCTGCAGGCATACATGCAGACAGAATGTTGTATACATAATAAATAAATAAATATTTTTTTAAAAAAAAAGAAATTACAAACTGATTCCTACTGGTTCCTCTATATCTTGTGCCTTTGAAGGGAGTTCTTGACTGGCCTGGAAAGTAGTGGGACCTTTGGAGTTATATCAGTCATCCTGGAGGTCATGGTCTCCTAGTCAGCCCATGGAAACAGGTGTTTTTACAGACTGAGAGATGTTAGTGGTAGAAAGAATGTTTTATTGTGTTCCATGACACCATTGCTCTGCCTGGGCCTCCTGTAATACAACCAAACTCCTTGGCAGAAGATGAAAACTTAGCTTACAGCCTGGCTGACTCCCCAAAGGTGTCCCTGAAGATGCCCCGCGGTTGTTTTTCTGTGTCCTCACTCGTGTTCTTGTTTGAAACCTTTCTTTCCACCGAATTTCTGCTCACACTCACGGCCTAACACCATCACTGTCCATTATTGCCTGCCCCTTCCTACTTCCCCTACTGCCCCAGGAAATTCACTGGCCCTTTCCCAGTCAGTCCCACCTATATTATTTCATTTTCTGTGGATGGGTGTTTTCATGCAGTGTCTTTTGGAGACCAGAAGAGGGCATTGGCTCCCAGGAACTGCAGTTAGGGGTGGTAGTGAGCCATCATGCCAGTACCTTTGAGACAGGGTATGGTTTACACAAAGCCATTCTGCCTTCTGCCTTCTGCCTCCAGTTCCCAAGGGCTCTGATGACAAGCATGTGGTACCACCTCTACTAAATTTTGTCTTTCCATTTCTCCTTCTCTTCCCTGTGTTGGGGATAAAACTTCATCTCTTCCCCAAACCCTGTCTTTTTTAGTTCAGGCTTCAGACTGTTATAACTCTGCATATAACCCAGACTGGCACTAAACTCTTTTTTTTTTAATATTTATTTATTTGTTTGTTTGTTTGTTTATTTATTTATTTATTTATTTATGTATACAACATTCTGTCTACATGTATGCCTGCAGGCCAGAAGAGGGCACCAGACCTCATTACAGATGGTTGTGAGCCACCATGTGGTTGCTGGGAGTTGAACTCAGGACCTTAGGAAGAGCAGGCAATGCTCTTAACCGTTGAGCCATCTCTCCAGCCCCCTAAACTCTTTTTTTAAAAAGATACTTAAATTTTTGTTTTGTTTTGTTTTGGTTTGGTTTTGATTTTTGAGACAGAGTTTCTCTGTGTATTCTGACTGTCATGGAATTCGCTCTGTAGAATTAGACCAGGATGCTCTCAAACTCACAGAGATCCACCTGCCTCTGCCTCCCAAGTACTAGAATTAAAGGCGTACGCCATCACCGTCTGATTAAAAAGATATTTGTTGCAAGGAGCCTGCTTGTTTGTCCTGGCCACTTAGCCTCGAAATAATCACACAGAAATTGTATTAATTAAATCACCGCTTTACCCATTAGCTTTAGCTTCTTATTGGCTAACTTTTACATCTTAAAAGTTAACCTTTGTATTGCCGTGTGGCAGTGGCTTACTGCCAAAGATTTGGCATGTCTGACTCTGGCGGGGGCTCCATGGCTTCTTTCTGACTCTGCCTTTCTTCTCCCAGCATTCAGTCCAGTTTTTACTGCCTAATTCTGTTCTTCCCTGCCACAAGCTCAAAACAGTTCTTTATTCATTAACCAATAAAAGCAGCACATAGACAGAAACACCAGATATTTACCTTTTTTTAATTTTTATTTTTGAGACAGGGTTTCTGTATAACTTTGGAGCCTATCCTGGACTAGCTAGCTCTTATAGACCAGGCTGGTCTCAAACTCACAGAGATCCGCCTGCCTCTGCCACCTGAGTGCACCACCACCACCTTTGGCGTAAAGATATGTATGTGTGCCTGAGTGTGTGTGTGTGAGAGAGAGAGATAGATATCATGTGCATGCAAGAGCCCTTTTAGGTTAGAAAGAGTTGTCAGATCTTCTGGGACTGGAGTTACAGATGGTTGTGAGCGTCACTGTGGGTCCTGGGAAACCCAAATCTTTTGTAAGAGCAGCACACACTCTTAACCACTGAGCCAACTCTCCAGCTCCGGCATTGAACTCAAAAGATCCTCTTTGCTCAGACTACCAAATACTTGGATTATAGATGTGTGCCCTGTGCCCTTCTTAGTATAGCTTTTACTTTGTCTCTTTATAAATTTTGTTTTGTTTTACAGCAGGATTTCTCGATGTAGCCCAGGCTTGCCTTGGCTTGTAGTGATCCTTCTGCTTGTACCTTTCAAGTACTGCAGTTTCAGGTGTGTGTCCCCACGCCTGCTCTATGCTCGGTTTGTTTTGTCTTGTTTTCCTCGAACATGCTGCAACTTAGTGAAGTTTAAAATGAATATCTCTGTTATTAGATGAGAACTAGTAATGTCAGTGGCTGTGTTGCTGACTTGTTGTGTTGCTCTGACATAAACATTTGTCTCACTGTTTCAGAGGGTGCCAGTAGGGTAGGTCATGGTAGGGAAGGCATGACAGTTGGGCCATTCTTCCATGGTTGGTGCCTTTGGTGACATCTTTTGCATATTTTGGCTCATCAGGACAGAGATGAACCAGACTGCTCTTCAGAGGCCCACCGTTAGTGGTTTATGTGCTGGTGTGTGTGCCACTACCATGCCTTCTTCCAGTTCTCCCGTCCTGTAGCACATCTCCATTAGTCATGTGGTGTGACCCTCTACTTCCTCTTCCCTCACCCAGAGTTCAGATGGCTGTGGCTTGAAAGAAACCTGCATCCACACAGCTGTCTGAATCTTCAGTCTCCAGCCACCTACTGTTGTACTTGGCACCTTTTCTGGCTCTTTTGCCCCTTTTCTCACTGTGTAGCTTGGGTTAACTTGAAATTCTTCCAGTTTTCCTGCTGAGTTCTGGCATTATGTGTGGGTCACCATCCTAGTGCTGGTTAATGTGTGGGCAGCTGTCCTAGGCTCCTTTTCACTTGTTAACCCTCCTTTAGAGCATTCTTCATTTTGAGCTAGTGGAATGGCTCAGTGGGGAAAGTGCTTGCACCTGGGAGCTGACTTTTATACCCATAACTGACACACATATGCGAAGTAATGAACCAACTATTGGAAGTAGTCCTTTGACCTCCATGTGCATGCTGCACTACTGGGGCATGTATGCACCACACACATACACTAAATAAGTACAATTATTTTCATTCTTTTTGGAAAAAGAATACACATATTCTTTTTGGTTTGGTTGTTTTTTTAGACAGAAAGAATCTCAGTGTGTAACCTTGACTGTCTAGAACTCACTGTGTAGACTAGGCTGCTCCTGAATTCACAAGTAGCCTCTATTATCTTGGTGTGCACTACTGCGCGCGTGCACACACACACACACCTTAAAATTTATTTTTTATGTACATGTGTGTTTTGCCTGCATGTTGTGTACTGTGTGTGTGTGCCTGGTACTCTTGAGAGGCCAGAAGACATCATATCTCCATGGAACCAAAGTTATAGGTGGTTGTGAGCTTGAGTGTGGTACTAGGGACTGAACCCAGGTCCTCTGTAAAAGCAGCCAATATTCTTAACCCCTGAGCTGTCTCTTTGAACCCTAAAAAATTCTGTTTACTGTTCTTTAGACATCTTCCCTGTAAGATGCTCAGTATCCAATATCAGGTAGGAACAGCTCTTGAATTAAAAACACATAGTTTGGTTTTTGGTAGAAATAATATCATAAAGTGATGCAGGCTGTGTGAAAAGTATTTTAGAAGAGACATTTAAAGTTATAAATGAAATTTAAAATTTTCGAGTTTTTCTGAGATTGGGTTTTGCGGATTGAGAGAAGGAAGCCTGCCTCCAGGTGTGCTGTCACCAAGTGATTAAGGCTGATCAGATCTGCTAAGTCAAAGGCAGTGTGAAACGGTCTTCCTCTTCAGAGAGTAGAGGGAGGAAAGGATGCAGTTTTATTACAGTCTCAAAAATGAAAGTATATTTAAAGTTTAAAAAAAAGGAA